GGCAAAATGTCTCAAGGTCCCTGATGATCTGACCTGTGGGAAAATTTCTTTCTGATCCAAATCTGATGATGAGTTTGAGCCTGAGCATGTGAGCAAGTCATGTGAGCCAGGAATCTAGGAAGGAGGATTCTCACCTCAGAGCACTCATCTGCCATGTCTGGTTTCCTGTCTCCAGCTGTGGCCAATCTCTGATGCTTCAGAGGACGGTGGAAAACAAAATCCAAACAAACCCAGAACACATCTGGCCAATTGTGCACTGGGGGGAAAAAAATCCTTCCTGACACTTGAAGCCCTGAAACATGAGATTTGGTTATAGGCATTGTCTTAGTGCAAAGCTGAAAGTGTTCTGAGCATGTCAAGGGCTATATTGGCATTCCTGTTCTCCCCATGCTCCATGAAGGAAGGGGGAATTCATAGAACCACAGCTTCCAAGGCCACAAAGGACCATCATGATCCCCCAGCCTGACCTCCCCCACTGCCTCCCGCTGACAGAGGCTGCAGAACTTCACCCAGAAGCCAGATGAAAGTATGTGTTATGAAATATGTCATGTCTTAAAGACTCCAAGTGATGGTGAGTCAAGTCCCTCCCCTGGTAAGCTGTTGCAATATTTAATTAACCTCACCATTGGGAAATCATGTGTTATTTCAAGGTTGAATTTGTCTAACTTTAACTTCCAGCCGTAATCTTGTTAGGTTCTTCTCAGCAAAGTTGAAAATCCCCCACTCTCAGATCATTTTCCATGTGTGAATACCTGCGCATACAGCGATCAAGACACGTTTCTACTTCCTCTTCAATAAGTTCAGCTCCTTAAGCCTCACATCAGAAGCCTTATTTTCTAGGCCCTGGACCATTCTTGTGGCCCTTCTTTGCGGCACACGAGCTGATTTTCAGTGGCACTCACACTGCCCGGGTCCTGGCCGCCAGTCCGGGGGGCTCTGCATTTTAACTTAATTTTAAACGAAGCGTCTTAAACATTTTAAAAACCTTATTTACTTTATATACAACAATAGCTTAGTTATATATTATAGA